AAGCCAATTCCTCGACCAAACATGAACTTCTCTCGACTAACATGGCTTAACTGACTATAAAATGCTCCAAAGTGATCAAAAAAACATAAATTGCTCGGGATTGTTCGAATGGAATTCAACTTAATTCGGCCATAACATATAAGCATCAAACCGAACAAGATTTTAACTTTCATGACTAAAATGACACAAACTGAACATGATGCTTCTAAGCTGATCATATTAACATGGATTAATGAGGATGATGATGATACCTCCTTAAATGTTCGTCTGAAATCACAAGATGGTGCGTGATCTTCTTAATTCCATGCGTGTACGTGTGTTCACAAGATGGTGCCTGATCTTCTTAATTCCATGCGTGGACGTGTGTTCTTTGCTGTGTGCGTGCGTTTATGAGTTAATTGTGTTTAATATGTGCTGAAATTATAGCTTAAGTGATAAGCTATTAATTCACCCCAAACTGCTGATTTATAGCACGGTGAAACTTAAGGAAAATTGGGATGAAAACTCGGCCAATGGTCGTGCGCCATGTGCCGTATGTTTAAAGCTCAAGAGTGGCGTTTGGATGCTTACTCATCACCCTAAGAGCTTAGTCACCTTCGAAGGCTTCCTCCCACTGCCATGTGTACTTGTAATGTTGATTCTCCACATGTATGTTGGGAGACATTAACTCTTGGCCCTTAAGATCGGCCTAGGTGCTAAGTGCATGTTAAGGGCGCGCCTATGTGCACTAATGGTCGTGCTAAGCATGCTTGATGCTAAGCTACACATGACTACTCTTAAACATGATTAACCTTAAACTAATCTTCATTAATGTTAATTAATCATCATTAACATTAAGCTAATCATGATTATTTTTAAGTTAATCATGATTATATAGCTAAACATAGATTAAGTTAATTAAGTATGGATTAAGATAATTAAGCAAGAGTTAATGATAATTGCTTAAGCATAAGCTAATCGTGGGAGGTGTACCAAGTGTGAACGCACCGCTCTATAGGAAACTCAACTTAACGTAAGGAACTTTAACCGAATTATATGATTTCGGTCGGAACTTGACTTCGGAATTTATTTCGAACACTGAATTAATTAATCCCAACTTACTGATGTCCATTTATTTATATAAACGGACTAAGATTAATTACTATCCTTGTCTCGGTTAATAAATAAAATTAACCGGATGATCCTTCGATTTAACATCGAATTTGGAATTTAACGGGTCAAATAACTTAGACATGAACATTAACATTAATATTTATTAACAAAGGCTAGCTTATACTCGAAAACTAGTATATTCCTTTATTAATAAAACTCGTGGTGTTACAATCCTGACTTTACTCAACATTAACATGAAACAACATAATATTTCTTGACATGACCATACATACTGACTTTACTCAAAATTTATAGATTTTGCTCGATGGACTAACGGAGTGCCGAGGTACGCGCCTCGTGTGCGTATAATCGGCGTTAAGCCAATTCCTCGACCGGACATGAACTTCTCTCGACTAACATGACTTAACTGACTATAAAATGCTCCAAAGTGATCAAATAAACATAAATTGCTCGGGGTTGTTCGAATGGAATTCAACTTTATTCGGTCATAACATATAAGCATCAAACCGAACAAGATTTTAACTTTCATGACTTAAATGACACAAACTGAACATGATTCTTCTAAGTTGATCTTATTAACATGGATTAATGGGGATGATGATGATACCTCCTTAAATGTTCGTCTGAAATCACAAGATGGTGCGTGATCTTCTTAATTCCATGCGTGTATGTGTATTCTTTGCCGTGTGCGTGCGTTTATGAGTTAATTGTGTTTAATATGTGCTGAACTTATAGCTTAAGTGATAAGCTATTAATTCACCCCAAACTGCTGATTTATAGCACGCTGAAACTTAAGGAAAACTGGGATGAAAACTCGGCCAATGGCCGTGGGCCATGTGTCGTATGCTTAAAGCTCAAGAGTGGCGTTTGGATGCTTAATCATCACCCTAAGAGCTTAGTCAACTTCCAAGGCTTCCTTCCACTGCCATGTGTACTTGTAATAATGATTCTCCACATGTATGTTGGGAGACATTAACTCTCGGCCCTTAAGATCGGCCTAGGTGCTAAGTGCGTGCTAAGGGCGCGCTTATGTGCACTAATGGCCGCCCACTGCCATGTGTACTTGTAATGATGATTCTCCACATGTATGTTGGGAGATATTAACTCTCGGTCCTTAAGATCGGCCTAGGTGCTAAGTGCGTGCTAAGGGCGCGCTTATGTGCACTAACGGCCTAGGTGCTAAGCTAAACATGATTACTCTTAAACATGATTAACCTTAAACTAATCCTAATTAATGTTAATTAATCATCATTAACATTAAGCTAATCATGATTATTTTTAAGTTAATCATGATTAATTAGCTAAACATAGATTAAGTTAATTAAGTATGGATTAAGATAATTAAGCAAGAGTTAATGATAATTGCTTAAGCATAAGCTAATCGTGGGAGGTGTACCAAGTGTGAACGCACCGCTGTATAGGAAACTCAACTTAACGTAAGGAACTTTAACCAAATTATATGATTTCGGTCGGAACTTGACTTCGGAATTTATTTCGAGCACTGAATTAATTAATCCCAACTTACTGATGTCCATTTATTTATATAAACGGACTAAGATTAATTACTATCCTTGTCTCGGTTAATAAATAAAATTAACCGGATAATCCTTCGATTTAACATCGAATTTGGAATTTAACGGGTCGAATAACTTAGACATGAACATTAACATTAATATTTAATAACAAAGGCTAGCTTATACTCGAAAACTAGTATATTCCTTTATTAATAAAACTCGTGGTGTTACAATCCACCCTCCTTAAAATATTTCCGTCCTCTGAAATACTAAAACTGAACGTACAAGCTTAACATAAAGCTTATACTTACTGATGACATGACTTGAGAATTCAGTACTTTAATACTGAATAATAGACTTGATCTGAACTGAAGAATCATCAACTCACAATGAAGGGAATTGTTGATTACTGCTGACTGAGAATGGATACTTTCCTGAAATAACATGTTCCACTGATTATAACATGATCTCAAAACATAATTCTTGAGCGTACTGGTCATCATCTCCTGGTTGACTGTTGATCTTCAGTCTGAACGTTACTCCACTTGTTGGTACACACGGAAAATTCCAGAGATACGCACACGTACAAATGAGGATAACTAACAATATCGGTGACTACCTTTCGTGAACATCTGTTCGATAACGCGGCACATCGTTCGCGGCACATTGTAATGTGGCACACCTGCTCCTCATCAAGTGAGTGTGGCATGCCTGCATACAGAACCTGGTGAACATTGCACCTGCGTCGTCGGCGTAGTCTGTATAACTAGTCATATCTGTATCTCAAGCTAGTACCCTCAATGTACTATAATGCCAACTCTCCGTGATCTCCCAATGTACCGTGACTCAGGCATGACATCCTTCTCTTCTTGCGTCATGCATCCTTGAATGGAAAGCTCGATTTCATCATGGCATGATCTGTTGCTATTGATTGGCCCTTCTTTGTCGCGTCGTATGTCAACCTGTTGTACCTGCAACTGTTTACTTTCCCCGAGGTTAAAATTAACCTCAAGAAGAAGTCCATCATGAATTAATATCTCCTGTGATTTCTCAGATTCTTCAGAATTTGAGAATCGAGGCACTAATCATACTTGAAATGACTGATAAGTCTTGTCTTATTAGACAGACCATCCTTGACTTTGACATGACTAACCTCAATATTCACATAACTGGATAACCATGACTTGACTTTTACATGACTGAATCATCTTTACCTGAACTCTGAAAGCTATTCTGAAACAACTAAATTGTTGCCTCGGAATTTGGGACATGACATTTACTGAATTACTTGACTTGATAAGGTACGACTTCAAGTTTCCAGGTCAATCTGGATTAATAGTCTGTATTGCAGACCTCCATTATTTAACCCGGCTGAACAACTATTATACATCGACCTCGTACTCATGAACATTGACTTTAAATCTTGAACATTAACTCATGGCTATGTACTGTGTAGGGCTATTCCAGTAACAACTGGTCCCGCAAGTACAAAAGAAATAACTGATCTTGGGCTTGAAAACCATAACTTGAAATATCATGATTGGTAAAATACGTGACATGACTGACTTTAAAGGTTGTTATTACATGAAATCATACTACTCCGGTCCCAGCTTCAAGCCTCCATGGTATACCCGGCTGAGTGGCTCTTATTTCAAGCCTCCATGGTAACCCGGAATATTGACTCTTATACACTGGAAACCGTTATCTGAGACAATGGTCTAGGAAATATAACAACCTTTAGCATCAAAATTTAACCTGGAACTTGATATACTGACTTGACTTAAGAAATTTGAGTCTATTCCTTGAATGAAATCAAGGAATTACTCCCTGGAATATGCCAACTGATTGGAAAAATGACAATTTTCGATAGAAAATATCTGAGAAACATGATTGCTAAGATTTGTATAACATAAATGCTTACAAATATCTTGACGGGTCATTAACTTGGCTTGAATAAATCTAGAATTGAATCTAGAGTTCTCAAACTTAGCCCCTTTCTAAAATTCTAAATTGTGATTCGAACATCCTCACTAATGACATCATACATAGTAATAGGAAGTTGATCAATAAAGTGCACAATCTCTTGACGAGTTGTTAAACATGACTGGGAAAATACTGACATTAAAATATAAAGATATTGACTATCGGTTCTGA